ATGTACCTGGAGATGTGCTCAAGTTACTGGGAGAAGGTGGTTTGAAAACACTGACAAAACTAATGAACACCATATATGAAAGTGGAGAGTGGCCCAAGGACTTTACAGAAGTTACAATGATTGCCTTAAAGAAAAAGACAAAAGCTACAAAATGCAGCGACCATCGCACAATAAGTCTTATTGCACATACAGCAAAGATAATAGCAAAGATACTTAAAAGAAGAATTGAAAGGAAAATAGAGGATGTACTTGGAGAAGATCAGTTTGGATTTAGAAGAGGAAAAGGAACCAGGGATGCAATTGGGATGATGAGAATTATAGCGGAACGAACTTTGGAGATAGATGAAGAACTGTGTGTTTGCTTCATAGACTGGCAGAAGGCATTTGACCGGGTAAACTGGACCAAATTAATGCAGATCCTGAAAGAAACAGGTATCGATTGGCATGAAAGAAGATTGATTAGCAAATTGTACATGGATCAGAAAGTTAGAGTACGACTGGACAGGGGGGAGACAGGAAGTGTGCAGATTGGAAGAGGAGTTCGACAAGGATGCTGTTTATCACCAATTCTGTTCAACTTGTACAGCGAATGCCTTACCAAGGAAGCTCTGGATGGGCTCGGAGACTTCAAAGTAGGAGGGCAAATTATTCAAACTGTGAAATATGCAGATGACCTTGTGTTAATGGCTAAGGAAGAAACTGTGCTACAGGGCATGATTGATAGACTAATTGAAATTGGAAGGTGCTATGGCATGGAAATGAATGTGGAGAAAACAAAAGTAATGAAAATTTCGAGACAACCAACCCCAGTCACAATAAAGATAGACCAAAAACAACTGGAGAATGTGAAATGTTTTAAATATTTGGGTAGCTTGTTAACAGATGATGGAAGGTGTACTAGTGAAATTAAATCCAGGATTGCCATGGCAAAAGCTGCATTTAGCAAGAAGAAGAATCTTTTTACCAGCAAATTGGACTTAAATTTGAGGAAGAAACTAGTGAAATGCTACATTTGGAGCATAGCTCTGTATGGGGCTGAAACATGGACACTTAGGGCAGTAGATCAGAAACATCTGGAAAGTTTCGAAATGTGGTGTTGGAGGATGGAGAAGATTAGTTGGACCGATTATGTGAGAAATGAAGAAGTGTTAATTAGAGTCAGTGAGCAGAGGAATATCCTACACGAAATAAGAAAATGGAAGGCTAATTGGATTGGTCATAGCTTATGCAGTAACTGCCTTCTAAAAGAAGTTACTAAAGGAAAGATAGAGGGGCAGATAGAAGTGACCAGAAGATGAGGAAGAAGACGTAAGAAGATGCTGCATGACCTTGGGGACAGAGGAGTATATTCTCATTTGAAGGAGAAAGCTCAAGATCGCATTAAGTGGAGGAATTGTTTTGGAAGAGACTGTGGACCTGTCGTCTGACAGATAACTGATGATGATGATGATGATGATCTGATACGTTCTGGTTAGCAGAACCAGAATATTAAACTGATTTTTGGAAAATGACGGAGAATTAGGGGCTTGCTCCATCTTCGTCACGGTCGCCCGCTATTGTACTATATCCGGGATGTCCCTAGCGAAACACTCAAAACCCTACCCAACGGCGACTTTTACGAACGCTTTGTGAAGTCTCGGCTGACTACTACGTTGCGCGACCAACACAGTAGGTGTTTGCGAAAATTTAGAATTTGGACGAGGATGGTTATCTCCTCGCTCCTATGGCAAACGTTCGACGCCATTAACACTTTCATACTCCCACGCCTCTCATTTCATCTCAAAAACGGAATGATGCAGAAGTCGCTGAATGACTTTGACAAGAGGCTCAGAGCTGCGGGGAAGAGATGACTGAACCTCCCTCAACGCCCCGGGGCCGAGCCTGTACTTGGGGTATCGAATTGGGGGTGTCAATCTTCTACTGACGGCCCTGCTTGCGCATGTTGGCCAATTGGTGCACGGAGTATGTCTGCTCCAGTCAAGCGCCGTGATTCACAGTTGAGGGTTGATCACTTTCTCTCTACATAGATTCTACAGCAACATATGTTAAGTCTAGGGAACAGGAGTTATTTTATGGGGGCAAGTAAACAAGATATTTTTTTTTTCTTGGCACTACAGCCCCAGTGGGCCTAGGCCTACCTCCATGAACTCCGTTCACTTAGGTTTTTCTAGATCTTACACATACAGTAGGACTCCTTGTGCGAGTGATAAGCTCGTCGCAA